GTTCATCTGTCTTGGTGTGGGAGGAGTGAAAAAATGTCACCAGCGCCTTCCTGAAATGCCCTTCTTGCCAGGCCAGTGGACTTGGCAGTCACCTGGGCTTCACGGTGTGGGCCTAAGGCGGCCCCAGCTTCTTGTCTGTAGAACAGGGATGGCGGCAGCCACCTTCTGGGTGTCGCTGAGATCCTGAATGAATATAAGGAGGCTAGCAGGGAGCCTGGCGTGTGCAAGGGCACACAGGACAGGCTAGCAGCCACTTTCTTCTTCTTTTCTTTTTACTCTAAAGCATTTTTAACTTTATTTTTTATTGAATTATTGGAGTTACATCAGTTAATAAAATTATATGTTTCCAGTGTACAATTCTATAATACAGCATCTGTATATCATGTGTTCACCATCCAAAGTCTGGTCTCCTTCCATCACCTTTTATCCCCTGTTTATCCTCTCCTACTGGCCACTACCGCCTGCAGTCACCACCCTATCCTCACGCCTCACACACACACTGCTCCCTCTCCCCTCGGTCCCCTGCTCTGAGTTCCCGTCACTTGATTGGTACCTTTAGCCTCACGTGCAAGGAACCTCATGACCAGAACCTCAATTGCCTGGGGTTTCTTCTACCCACACCAGAGGCCCTGGCAAATGCTAAGGACATAGATATGTGGTCCTCAACTTGCTCATAAAACAACCTGCAAGGACCAAGAGCTGGGTGATGGCCTCTCTCTGTGACATTTTGATGAATGACTGACATTCCCAGGAATGAACTGGATGCAGACCCAGCTCTTGAGGACTTCCTTGTCCCTACAGCTAAAAGACCAAATAGGTAACCAGACACCTCCAGTCACTCCTTCAGCAAGTGGTTTTTCAGCTACTGTGTACCAGGTGATTAAGACAGATACAGTCGCTGGTGTTGGACACAGGCCACTGTAGGACACTGAAATACATAGGGCTTCTCACTCAGCCTGGGGGTGAGGTGGCTCAGGGCTGATTTGTCCAGGGAAGTGACAGGTGAGGCTGTGAAGCTCAGCAGTGAGTACTGGGGCAGGAAGAGCGAGGATGTATTACAGGCCCCTCGGAGAGAGGAAGCAGAGCTGTAGGCAGCACAGAACGGAGCCCTGAGAGGTAAGGCTGAAGAGATTTTGGCAGGAGCTCATCTCAGAGGCCATGATCTAGGTCAGGGGTTCTCAAAGTGTGCCCCCTGGACCAGCAACAACCAGCACTTGCTGGGAATTGGATAGAAATGCAAATTACTAGGCCCGACTCCAGACCTAGGGGCGAAGCCCAGTACTCTGTTTTCACAAGCCCTCCCTGTGGCTCTGAGGCTTACTCCAGTTTGAGAGGTTCCCATCTAAGTGTGTGAAAGAGCTGGACTGTCTCCTGAGACAGTGGGGAGTTGTTGGAGGGTTCAGGCCAGAGAGGACCCTGGGAAAAGGGACAATGTGGAGAGGGGGTAGGCTGGGCAGGAACACGGCACAGACGTAAAGACAGTGGTGGCAACCATGGAAATAGGGGCCTACGTGAGAGTTGCTGGTAGCCTGGCCAAGGCAGTGGCAGGGGAACCAAAGGAAGTGGACATGTGAAGACACACTAACTACACTGAGCTGTAAGAACAACGGGATTTAGTGGATAGAGTAACCTGGGAATGTCAGCAAAGGGCCCAGTAGCAGATCTTTGGGGTCTGAAGTTGGGTGCTGGGCTTCTTCAACCTACAGGGCTGCAGTCGGTCCAGAATGAGACATCTAGGTGAGCTTGGGTATCATTTAATCTCTTTGAGCCACGTGTTCTCGTCTGTCAAATGGGGAAAGTGCTAGCGGTTCTCAGGGTGATTGCGAGAACGACCTGTGGTATCCAGCCCTTGTCAGGAACACCTTGGGGACACTCACATCTCATCCCCAGCTCAGAGCCTTGAGAAGCACTAACATTTGTTGAACGTCTCCAAGCCCTCTGCACAGATTAGCTCCATCTTCACCAGGGCCATTGAGGAGGACCCCGAGGAAACATGGAGTTTAAGAAACTCACTGCCCCGGGTCTCTCTTTTACCTCCTGCTATGCTGCCAGTGAGCATGTGGCCTCAGAAAACTGTACAATCCAATGTGCTCACAAACTCTACAAATAAATCAAGATGGAATCCTAAAAAATAAAATAAAAAAAAATTAAAAAAATGTTCAAATAAGCCACAAAAAAGGTAAGAAAAGAGAAAGAGGAAACAAATCATAAAATGACAAACTTGAGGATGAGTCCATCTGAACGCACTACTAGCACAGCCAGAGTCAGACACAGAGCAGGGATTTGGTATGAACAGTCGAGAGGCTGGGGAAGGGGAAGGGCTGTGTCCAAGAGGCTACAGCAGGGTCTGCTGGAAGCATGACAGAGGCCCAAGGAGCAAAGGGACAGCTTGGGGAGCCTTGGAGCAGCTTGGCCTGGTCAGGAAGTGAACTTGGAAAGGCCTGCAAGAATGTCCTGATGATGATGTAGTGAGCACCTACTATGGGGGAGATGAGATGGACTGAGAAGATAAGGGGCAGGAGGCAGGCCTCAGGCAGGGTTGGTACCAGAGGGTCAGCTCAGCTGTAAGACTTCCTCTCATGGACACACAGTGGCCTAAATTGCAGCCGTGGTTCCTGCCTCCTGGCTGAGGGGCCACAATGGCACTCAGCTGGTCTTGGGTGTGGCCTGCCCCAGTCTGTTCTAGTACCCAGCCAGCTGCACTGGGCTCCTGAGAGGAGGGTCTCTGTTCTTTTTTCCTGGTTAACCCTGGAGTTGCCATCGATTTCTCCTCCACCATGTAGCCTTTTCCCACTCTCGAGCTGAGGGCTGAGGGCCCCAAGTACCAGAGCCTTGATGGGAAAGAACAAGAAGGCACATTTTGGCTACACACTGCCCAGTGTCCCTCTGCCTGCCAAGTCCTCATGTACAGGTGCACACGCACCAGGCTTTTCATGTACAATTCAGTTGTCATGTAGGCGAAGGTGTTTTGACAACAGACTTTGAATTCAGACTCTGGCTAAATATTAGCTTTCCCTTTATTAGCTTTGTGACTCGAGACAAGTTCATTTCCTTGTCTGAACTGGTCTCACCTATCAAATGGACCCCCCCACCCCAATGAGAAAGTGCTGGTGAAGATCACACAAGATTCTGCATGAAAAGAGCCTAGAACAAGGCCTGTCACACGGTATATAGGCTTTGGTAACTATTTCATTATATTTCTAAATTCGGCTAAATGTCACCTGCCGCTGCAGAAGTGCCTTTTCTGACCCAGAGCTGTTCTTGCTCTGCAGGCCAAGAGGCCCCCTAGTTAGTACTGACTTCCTCAGAACATTCCTGAAAATTCCTGTGGGCTCAGGAAAAGGAGAACAACGGATTAATTTAACTCCCAGTGACTGGCAGCATCGTGTTTTTATCAGGGCTTCGTCGCCATGGCAGCCTCATGGAAGGGTTGTGGAGGGGGTGGGTGGAACTATTGTTCCTGCCATTGTCTGTTCTGGAATGCAGGCCCAGGATAACGGGACTGGCACAGGCACCAAGCGGCACATGGCACAGGCAGCTGTTTAGTCTGACAGGAGCCCTCTTGGGATGGCCTGTGCCCTGGCTTCCCCCCAGCTCACTGCCAGACCAGTCTGAGATGGCTTGATGTGGAGGGTAGGAGTGTCCACGGGAAGAGGTCTCACAACGTGGCTCAGGCAGCACTCTTTCACCCAGGCTAGGATGTTGTAGTCAGGGTTGGAGTTAAATTACAGCGCGGCCACCTGCTATCTGTACAGCTAATTGCTTTCCCTTTCCTTATCTTTAAAATAGTAATTACAGTTACCCCAAAGGGCAGTACATGAAATCCCCTGGGTAAAAGGCATTCGGGGAGGGCTCATTTCTGTTCTGCGGGGGTGATGAACAGTCGCCTGCCATCTGTCACTCCACCGACAGGGTCCCCCTCCTACATACCTCTTAGGAGGCAAGGTTCCCCTCTCCACCCTGGCTGTGGAGAGGAGTTGGGAGTGGAGGGGCCCATCTGGAGTGATGCGGGACCTGGTGATACTAAAGACTTTTCCTCCCCTTTGCGGAAAGGGAAAAGAATTGAGGAGAAGCGATCCAATGGCCTGGAGCCAGAAGGACAGGGCCAAGTGGGACTAAGCAGGAGTGGGAGGAGGTGAAGAAACTGGGATCTGGCGGGTGGAGGCACATAGAGGGAAGGAAGAGGGAACAGCTCCCGGTGGGAGGGTATTTGGCACGGACAAAGGCAGATGCAGCGGGAACTACCCGCCTCCGAGCTCCCGCTACAAGAACGGGCGACAACCCGGGAGGTCGCGGTGCGGGCTGGGATGCAGCCTGGGGTGGGAGCGGGTACAAGACCTAGAGCTCCTGGGGCTGCTAGACACATGCATAGGGCTGCAGATAGGCGCCTGTGGTTGGTTGTGTGGCTCTAGAAGGTGGGCCACCCTTTCCCCGCCGCCAAGCAACCAAGCGGTGCCCAGGGGATACCAGTGGCGAATCTCCCTTTGCGCAAAGGTCGAGTCTGGCCTTCGCGCGCCCCCTGCTGGCCTCCCTGGAGTTCCCTCGGCTCAGCCGCAGCGGCCGAGTCCCAGACCCGGGAAAACCCTACCAGGGGAAACCTCGGGGTGTGACGTCACCCTCCTCGATGACGTCACCTCCCCCGGGGAGTTTGGGGGTTCCGACAAAGGAGGCATCCCTAGGACTGCACAGGGCACCGGCAGGGAAGTCGTCGGGGGCTGCAGCGCGCCTTCACCGCGCCTTATGTCTGTCCCGTAGGTCCCGCGCGGCCCCGGGTGAGGCCTGCCCGCTCGCCCGCCGGCACCATGGGAAGGAGCGGGCACCGATGCTGCTGCCCCCCGCCGGCGCGCGCAGGACTTGAGCCTCGCCGCGGGCAGCCCCCGGCCGCAGGTCCCCGAGTGACGCTGGCGGCTCCCGGGAGCGTGGCGCGGGCCCGGGGCCACGTAGAGGAGCCCAGTGTCCAGTGAAGCTGCCGAGGACCCGCCGCCCGCGCCGCCGCCGCCATGGTTATGTCCCAGGGCACCTACACGTTCCTCACGTGCTTCGCCGGTTTCTGGCTTATCTGGGGGCTCATCGTCCTCCTGTGCTGCTTCTGCAGCTTCCTGCGCCGCCGCCTCAAACGGCGCCAGGAGGAGCGACTGCGTGAGCAGAACCTGCGCGTCCTCGAGTTGGAGCCGCTCGAGCTCGAGGGCAGCCTGGCCGGGAGCCCCCCGGGCCTCGCGCCCCCGCCGCCACCGCACCGCGGCCGCCTGGAGGCACCGGCGCACGCGCACCCGCACGTGCACGTGCACCCGCTGCTGCACCACGGGCCCGCGCCGGCGCACGTGCACCCGCACGCACACCACCACGCACTGCCGCACCCGCCGCCGCCGCACCTCTCCGTGCCGCCGCGGCCCTGGAGCTACCCGCGCCAAGGTAAGTGCCGGCCCGCGCCGGCGGCGAGCGGGGTGGGCGGGGCCCCGGACGCGGCTGCCTCGGGGTCTTCCATAGACCGGTGGCCCCAGCCTAGGAGGGCGCGGGCTGGGCCCGGCGTTGGCTAAGGTGTCTGCGGGAGGAGGCTGGCGACTTGGCTAAGGTTTCCGCGGGAGGAGGCTGGCGACGGGCGCCCTCACCCGTTCGGATCACTTCCCACTCCACAGCGGAATCGGACATGTCCAAGCCTCCGTGCTACGAAGAGGCGGTGCTGATGGCCGAGCCGCCGCCGCCCTACAGTGAGGTGCTCACCGACACCCGCGGCCTCTACCGCAAGATCGTCACGCCCTTTCTGAGCCGCCGCGACAGCGCCGAGAAGCAGGAGCAGCCGCCGCCCAGCTACAAGCCGCTGTTCCTGGACCGAGGCTACACGTCGGCGCTGCACCTGCCCAGCGCCCCGCGGCCCGCCGCGCCCTGCCCCGCGCTCTGCCTGCAGGCGGACCGAGGCCGCCGCGTCTTCCCCAGCTGGACCGACTCGGAGCTCAGCAGTCGCGAGCCGCTGGAGCCCGGAGCTTGGCGCCTGCCGGTCTCAATCCCCTTGTTCGGGAGGACTACAGCCGTATAGTGGGGTGCCCGGCGACCCGAGCCCCGAGAGTAGACTCCTGGCCTGACTGCTGCGAGGCTTTTTAAATACTTCCCTTGGACTGCGGGTGGTGGGAGGGATTTCTTACCCCATTTGTTACATTTTGAGGATAATAAAGGTGTGTGATCTGGTTTGGTACAAGCGGAGGGGACACCCACTGCTTGCGTGCAAAGCTCTGGTGGCCAGGTGTGCCTGGGCCTCGGCAGGAGGAAAGCTGAGTGCGCTTTTCAGCTAAATGGCCCGAGGATGCAGAACTAAACCTGAGGTCAGCCAGCTTCCCCCAAGGGCCTCAAACCCCATCTTCCCTGCCCATGAAACCACGGTTAGGTGCCCCAGTGGCCTGAGAGGTGGGGAAAGTTGGGGAAAGGGGGTCAAGGGCAGGCGGCCCAGCAGCAGGCCCAGAGGGATCTGGATTTCTTTATTAACAGACATGAGCACGACCCGTTACAGAAGTTTGTGCTTTCCAAAAAACAGTTACTGAATGTGAAAAAGGGACCCAAGCAAAGAAGGGAGTTGGGGAGGGGCCACCCCCGCCCTGGGCCCCACCCATAGCCCTGACCTGAATGGGCCTAAGGCCTCCAGCCTGGGACCCGCCCAGCAGGAGGGGGCAGGAAAGGGCTGGGAAGCTGAGCTGCCCCAGCTGGGCCTGCTACTTCCTTAGGGCCCAGGAGGGCAGAGGTCAAGAGACGGGCAGGGAGGGGGTCCCAGGGAGCCAGAGCCCGAGAGCCATTTATTGCCATGTTTTCAAATTTCGTGCAAAATATCTGAAGCCCTGGACAAAGAATACAAAGTGATATTTTTCCAAGAAACATAAAACTAGGAAAAGAAGTGGGGGGCCTTTTCCCACCAGAGCTCCCCCCTCACCAGGCCCCACACAGGGTGAGGCCTCCACCCTGGCCAGCTGAGTGAGCACAGGGAGGGCTAAGCGCTACAAACTGAACCGGGTGGGGAAGGGGATAGAATTTGCAACAACATCTCAACTACCAACGGGAGGAAAACCAGTCAACTGTACAAGTCTCCTATCAACTTTTTTTTTTTAAAAAAAAAGGAAAGAAAAGCTGTAAAAGTCAGGCCCTGTGGGCAGCGAGGCGGCCAAGTCCCCGGTCAGGGCCAGAATCTGGAGTGGGTGCCAGGCGGAGCGTCTTGGAGTACAGGCGCGGCGGGCCATCCGGGCAGAGGCCAGCGCAGGTGGGTGGTCGTGGCAAGGACAGCCTGAGGGTGGGCACCACTGCTAATCGCCGCCCTCAAAGCCCTCCTCCTCTTCCGGGACTGGGTCTGCATCCCAGCAGGTGATGTCAATTTCTGTGGCGATGGGAAAGAGGGCAGGTAAGGAAAGGGCCAGCGGATGTATCCCCCTGGGAACTGCCTGCCCACACGTAAACCCCACCCTAATTCTGACCCGTCACCCACACCCACACTGCACTACCTGGAGGCTTATTGTAGAACACAGGAGGCGGAGCCTTTGCACACAGATCTTCTGATTGGGCAAACTCTTCCTCCTGTGATTGGCTGAAGTACCCCTCACTGGCCTGCAAAGAGGAAAGCACCAGGTTGCATGGCCCCACCCTGAAGGCTAAGGCTCACCTGCCAGGCCAGAGGCAGTTTCTCCAGCAACCAGTGATTCCACCACGGTGGCCAAGAAAACAGACACCTGACTTAGTAACAAAAGCAGAGCTGGCCCAGGGGAGGGGAATGGAAAACAGCTTCCCCCTAATAAATGTGGGTCAGAGAAAGGGGGTACTGTTGCAAGCCTAAAACACCTGGGTCAGCCCCCTTCTCAAGCCCTGACTTCCAACCACCAGGCTGCCCTGCCCTACCTGAGTCCCCTCCTTCTGGGTGGTCTCGCCATTGGTCAGCAGGTGGGGCTCCGGCTCGGACTCGGGCTCGGGCTCGGGCTCCGGCTCTGGCTCGGGCTCCGGCTCCTCTAGAGCAGAGGGTGGAGTAAGGGCCTGGGGGGCAGCCAGCGGCTCCCCTTCTACTTCCTCCTCTGGGTCACAGAAGGTGGCTGGTGGCTCAGGCAGCTCATCAAAGTTGAGGAGACTGGCACAGACTTCACCTGCTGGTGGCAGTGGCTCCTGAGCACCCTCATCCAGCAGGGACACCTCCGCCAGAGTGACCTCAGCACCTGAGGGTGCTGTCAGAGCCCCAGGCTCAGCCGGGGGTGCGGAGGCGCCATCCCTGTTGTCAGGCCATAGGTCAATGAGGCTGGCAGTGGCAGGGGCGACAGTGTTGGCAACAGCGGTGTCAGCAGCAGCAACGTCATCGGTTTCAATGGCAGCAGCTGCCAGGGTGTCGGCTGCGGTGGTGTTGGCTATGGCAGGCTCTAGAGGGGCAGCCAGGACACCCTGTTCAGGGGCCCCCATGAACATAAAGTCCTCTATGGGGCTGCCTTGCCCCTGGGGAGGCTCCCGTGCCTGCGGGGACTCCTCCATGGGGCCAGCCCAGGCCTCGGGGACTGCAGCTCTGGCCTCCTTGCTGGTCCCTTCGCCCTCCAGGCCGGGGCCAGGCTCCTGGGTCTCTGTTACAGAACAAACGGAGGAGATAGATGTGACCAGCGCCACCGGCGAAGGCCATGGACAGGCACAATACCTACCCTGTCATGCACTGAAAATCTGACGACCTCCTGGAAAGAAGGCCTCCGTTAATAGCTCCATGCAGAGTACCCTCCAGCACCCACTGGGCCCTGCTAGCCCTTTACCTAGTGTCTGCAAGGCCTGTGTCCTACTCCATGGAGAGACACTGAGGCTAGGAGGGTAGATATGACTGCCACACCAGGGCTCCTCCCTGCCACAGCCACCTCCAGGGCAGTGCAGTTTGGGGAGTTGTTATCGTGGCCGCCTGGGTTTTTCAGCATGGGGACTGGTGAGAGGCGCGGTACAGCGAGGGCCCCTCACTTACCTTGGGTTTGTGGAGGTGGTGGCGGTGGTGGAGGAGGCTGAGAGGACGTGACCTCATCCAGGGCCCGCTCGATCTGCTCAGAGACCGGGGTGGAGGCTGTGCTGGAGTCAGAGGGGCTGCGGGTGGGGATGGGGGTGGGTGCCATCCTCCGGTGACTGTCCAGGTGGCTGCCTGTGGAACAAACCCCCACGGTTACTAAGGGCCAGGAAGCCAGGTGGGACCAGGACTGTACACCTCAGGGCCTGGCCAGCATCTCTTCTCTGGAGTCTGGGTTGGGGCTGAGAGCTCCCCAGGGTCCAGGCCACAACTCCAGACCCTGTAAGCCAGGCCCCTGGGGTCAGTGCCCCTTCAGGGTCAGGGAAAAGAGGCAGGCAGTACCTGCTTCGGGGGCAAGCACCAGAGATCAGTGGTCAGGCTGGGGAGTAAGGGCAGGGGTGCTGCTGGGAAGAGGGGCCCCTCTTACCCCCCTGCCGAGGCCTGGGGCTGCTACCTACATGGGAGGGAGGAAGAGAGGTTTGGGGTGCGGTGACAGGTGATATAGGGAAAGGGAGTCCGTGGAGGGGAAGAGGAGGAAGAGGAGGAGGAGGAAGGCCCACTGTCCGATGCCTTTATGAAAGGGCAGTACGGACGACCTGCCGAGAGAGACAGACAGAGAGAGAGAGAGAGAGACAGAGGACAAGAGAGGGTCAGTCTCCCCCACCCCCGCCCCAAGGCCTCACCCACACCCAGAGCTGGCCCAGGATATCCAAGCTGCCTTTGGCCAGGGCACACATTCAGCCAAGCTGGGCTACAGCCTCAAGCACCAGCCACGAAAAGCAAGGAGCCAGCCTCTGCGAAACACACAGCCACGGACAGCCTGTCCCACCCCTGAAGCCCCTGCACAGGCCAAGCACACACAGGGGTAAACACTCCGCCCAGCAGACAGGGAGCAGCAGGGTGCTTCTGGGGAGGCAGAAGCTACAGTGAGAACCTTGACGGGGAAGCGGGGTGCAGGCTCCAGGGCTGCCTCACATGCACCACAGCCCTCAGGCAGGCCCTGGTTCCACCCCAGCAGGGCCGCTCCCTACGGCCAGGGGCGTGCTGTAGCCCATGCCAGAGCTGCCTAGATGGGCCTCTTGCACTGCCCGCTGCTCAGCCAAAGCCCAACATTGACCATCTCCTCCCCAGCCTTCTCAGTGCTGCCACCTGGGAGGCAGTGGGCGGGAGCACGCTTGACGAGCCACCTTGCCTTCTCCCAGGGTCCTTGGGCAAGGCTTCTCTTCCAAAACATGGGGTCAAAGAGGCTCAGGGCAAAACCCGAGCGGGGGTCAGGTGGGGGCGGGACCTGGGACTACCTGGCCTATGATTGAAGGGCGAGGGCACCTCGCAGCTGCCCACAGAGGCCGATGCGACTCGTTCCTGCTGCTTGAAGAACTCCCGGGGGTTGTCAGGCCGCTGGGCAATGATGGCCGCTGCCTCCTGGGGGCACAGAGAAGGATCGGAGTCAGGCTGGCCAGGCTGAGGCAGTCCCTGTTGGACTCAGCTGCCCTGTCCCCCCAACTCTCACCTCTACCTCCGATTCTGACTTCTTCATCTGGGTCTCTTCCTCTTCCTCCCTCCGGTCACCCTGGGAAAGAGAGAGACAGTGTCCTGGGCAGCCCCACCAGGAGCTCTTGCTTCTCTACAGCCCTTTGTTTCCTCCCTAATCTGGCAGGAAGAGACTTGCAGGTGGCACCTCTGCTCCCTTTCCCACCACCACTCAGCTCCTTCTCTCCATCCACAAGGCCCTCAGCCACCTTATCTCCAGCCTGGACAGGTGCCTGGGCACCCAGCTCAGCTCCTCCTGCTCCTTCATCCCAGATTCCCAGTCTTCCAGGAGCACTCCCTGCTTTGCAGCCAACTTTTCGTAAACCTCCTAACTCCAGGATCTAGCCAATAGCCCTGCCTGAATTTCAGCATCATGACTGAGCTTTCCTCATTAACCTCCCTCCACCCCGACTTGGCCCACATTCCCCTCCTGCTGCCTGACCTCACCCCTGTCACCTCCCCAACAGCCCCACACACCCTGAGATATAGATCTAGTTATCAGCATGACATAATAGTTTTCATCTTTGGAACATGCATGCCATTTACTACTTGGTATGGGAGATGAACCTCTCTCTCCTCAAACGCCCAGCCCCCACCCCAGCTCCAACTCTTCCTGCTCCTGGCCTCGGCTTGGGCACCGCCTCCTGGGGAAGAGGTCCCTGGCCCATCCAGGTCCTTTCCTTCTCTGGGTCCCCACAAGGTGTTCTAAGCACACACCACAGGTTACACTGTGTCAGAAACCTCCTGTTTCTGGGGTCAAGTCCCCTACCCTTGGTGGGTGCCAAAGGATGAGAACTCAGGTCTCTCTGTGTAGCCAGCATGAGGTTGAGTTGGCACATTTGCTCAGTTGAATTCACAACACCAAAGCCTCTTAACAGTGTCCCCTGCTGCTCCCGTGGCAAAGGGGGCAGGAGGGACTGAGGGGGGACAAAAAGGTGCAGGTACGGCAGTAAAGTAATGGGGCTCCTGTTTTTGAGCACATGCATAAACTATCGGGTGCATTAGGAGCATGCCCTTCAAAGTGTCCCCCTTCAAGAGGGCTGTCACTGCAACAACTTCGTGTCTTCCAGAATGAAGTCTGCACTCCTCTGACCTTGCTCTATTTTCCCAAATCCTCCTGCTGCTCAGCCCACTGGGCTCCAGTCAGCCTCCTGGCCTTCCCATAATGGACATCCAACCAGCTTTTTCAGAGACTCTGTCCCTGCCTAGTATAATCTCCCTAGGTTCCTCTGCTTCATTTAGAAGGAAAAAAAAAAAAAAAAGAGAGAGAAAAACAAAAAAAGACCAGACTTGGTTTACCACCTACCAACGATGTGGAAAAACACTGAAACAAGTTAGGGCTGTGGGTAGGAAGAAGATGCTGCTGTGCCTGAGCATCTTAAGCTCAGGCATAAAGGGAACTCAGAAAAGAAAGGCAAATCTTATCAGGAGAGGAAGCATTTCATAGTTCTAAATTCCGAAGTTCCTCACATGGGATCTTCCTTAGAGGACCTGAACTCGTAAGGCCACAACTGTCACTGTCACACGAGCCACACGTGAAGGGTCAGATGGGACCACAAAGTAAAGGTGCAAGCTCCTTAAGGTTTTGCCTGAAATGTTGATAATTAGTGCAAGATCAGCTCAGAGGGAAGCCTATACTATTCTTCCTACTTTGTGTGTGTGAAATTTCCTATAAAAAGCTTTTTCAAAAAAGCCCTTGCTCTGAATGGACAAACTAATGTGGAATATAGATACAGTGGGATGGCATTAGCCTTAAAAAGGAAGGAGACATTCTAACACATGGATGAACCTTGAAATTATATTGAGTGAAGTCAGTCAGTCACCAAAGGAAAAATTCTGTATGGTTCCACTCATGTGAGATACCTAGAAAAGTCAAATTCATAGAGACAGAGTAGACTAGGGGGAGGGGAGATTGGGAGTTAGTGCTTAATGAGTACAGAGTTTAAGTATGGGGAGATGACAAAAACTCTGGAGATAAACTGTAGTGATGCTTGTACAACGTGAATGTATTTAATGCCACTAAACTGTACATTTGAAATCAGCTAAGATGTTACATGTCCTGTTATGTGTATTTGGACACAATTAAAAAATAAAATATCCGGTTCATTTCATCTTGTTCATCTTCACCACCATATTCTTTAACACCTGGCACAGGCAGGTGATGGCAAGGGTTTGTTGAATGAATGAGGCTGGAGCTTACATCCAGAGGCGGGTGGGATTGGTAGCAGAGGATAGCCACTGAATGCCAATGCCTGCAGGTTGTCCTGCCCCCTCCCTCCTCGTCTCCTGTGGATGTGGCCCTGAAGCTCCTTCGGGTCCCCAAGGCCCAATGGATCTACCCATCACAGTCCCAATCCAGACAAGTACCACCCACCTCCCGCCCTGAACTATATCTCACCACTGAATGACCTGAATTCAAAGCATGAGGCTTTTCAAAGGGCCAATCCACAGGCCCCATGAGACACCCAAATGTTTGAAGGTTCAGACAGCATTCCTGAAGGAGACACTACACACACAGGGATGCTCAGAGCACCAGCGAGGTTCATTTGTGTGGCTCTTCAGCACTAGTATTGTGGGGACCAGGTCTGCAGCCCCAAGTGCAGAAAGCATGTCTAATCCATCTGAGCCCCTCAAGCCTTGCTGGGAGGGGACAAAGGAGCCTGGTCAGTGAGGGTCTGGGTCAAGATAGATTTTCCTCTTTCAGTCTAAAGTAGAAGCTTCTCGGCCGAAACCGGTTTGGCTCAGTGGATAGAGCGTCGGCTTGGGGACTGAAGGGTCCCGGGTTCGATTCCGGTCAGGGGCATGTATCTTGGTTGCAGGCACATCCCCAGTGGGGAGTGTGCAGGAGGCAGCTGATCGATGACTCTCTCTCTCATCAATGTTTCTAACTCTCTGTCTCTCTCCCTTCCTCTCTGCAAAATATCAATAAAATATATATTTTTTAAAAATTAAAAAATAAAAATAAAAATAAAGTAGAAGCTTCTCCAAGTTTCATGTAGCCAGGGGCCAGACCCCACGTGATTGAGTGACAGACCTGACACTTCATGGCGCCCCATGCAGCAGTACCCAGAAGCCACTGATCTCCCTAAGAGGCCCAGGAGCACAGGGACCACCCTCATTTCCCTGACCTGGAGACTGGAAGCCCCGGTTAAGAACTTACAAAGATAGACTGCTCGTTTAACCGCCTCTTGGCCTCCTCAGCTTCTAGAGTCTGCTGTTTCCTCCTGAAAGGATAAGTGAGCGTAAGTGGGCCTGCACCCTCACGGAGGCCCCCGGGGACCTGCCCGTGGCAGCGCGGGGCCTGCAGCGGGGCGGGGCTGGGCACACCTGTGCTCTTCGATCTGCTGTTCCCTCTCTCTGTAGCGCCGTTCCCGCTCCTCCTGCTCTTGCCGCTCCTGCTCCATCCGCTCTTGCTCAAACCTGAGTCTCTCATCCAGGGCCTTCTTCCGCTCCTCCTCCTTCCTCAGCTCTTCCTCCTTCTGCAACCACCCGTGCAAGGCAGAGTAGGCCCTGAGCCTGGGGGACCCCTAAGCCTGGGGACCCCTGTCCCACCAGGCCATCCTAACCCAGGGCTGGTGAGGTATGGGTTCTAAGACCTGAGTCCTCCGGGCATAAATCTCACTTTCAGTTGGGGGGGGGGGAGACCCGGGATGGGACACACTCTTGAGGGAGGGACTTGAGGAGAGGATCCTAGGGCTACTCCATGGGGTCAGGTCAGCTCAGCCTGCAGGCTGGGGTCAGGGTCCACACCTTAGCCTGCTCCCAGAACTGCTCGCGGTTAATCCGCTTCATCTCCACAGCGGCGTCCGTCTTCTGGTAGGTGGTGCCCTGCAGGGTCAAACGGCCTGGTATGAGCCCCGAGAGCAGGCCGGGTGCTCCTGGAGGTCCTACCGGGAAAGGCTGAGGACTGAGAGGGCGGGGGTGGGAGAGCCCTGGGCAGGGCCAGCTGGCCTCGGGCACACTGACCACCGGCTCGGCATTCTCATCCTCACGCAGCCGCAGCCGGTGCAGCACGGGGCTGGAGAGCCGTGCCAGGCCATTGGAGAGCCGCTGCCCAATGGCGCCCGCATCTATGTCTTCCACGCTGCTGGCGTTCACTATCACATCGACGCCCTGCGGCCAGAAGGTGTGTTAGGCAGCACGGCTCCCGGCTCCCTCCCAGCTCCGTCAGCACACAGACCCTGGGCGGCTGGTCCCACCCCCGCTCGCACCTGGAAGAATTCAGCCACCTTGGCCACGTGGCTGGCACAAGCACATTTTCGGGCATCAGGCACATCCTCACCAACCTGCAAAGCACCCAGCACAGAGCGGGTTGAGAGAGGACAGGAAAGGACAAGAAGGGCCTGGCACAGAGGGGGTTGTCTCCCGAGGTGTCCGAGGCGGAGGGTAACTGTTGTGGGTCTCAGCTCCCTGCCCAGCCCGCAGCTGCATACCCAGTTGATGAGCACGTATTTTGGCAGCGCAGCCTGGGAGTCCTTGACGCTGCAGAAGCCGTACATCACCTTCTGGTTTTCAAAGTGGCCTGAGAGTTCCTGCAAGCCCCCGTCTGGAGGAATTAGGAGGCATCAGGACTCCCATCTCCTCACCCTTACCCACAGAGGGCCTGGAACCCAAAGGAAAGACTCCATTTGTGGGCTCTGCAGGCACTGCCCCCCCCCCCATTTCTCCCCACCCTCCCCCTCTCCCCCACCAACCTGGAGGCCCCAAGTTCTGTGTTGGTGCGAGAAAAAGTGGCAGACAGGCACTAGCTTTGCCTTTGAATCCTCAGGGCCTGATTTGGGGTAGGACTGAGGAAATGCTTGTTCTTCACACATCCTCATGACACATGGTGCCCAGGGAGGTACAAGAAAGCCTTTGGGCTCTAGAGAAAGTGAGGGAGAACTGGGCCATCCCCACAGGCCCCCGTCCCATAGCAGTGTGATGTGGGCTGTGTGACTCCTCGCTGAGGCTGCCTTCTCAACATCAAACAGGAATCAAGGCTCCCTTCCCCCCTCCTCACCCCCGGGAGCTTAGGGATGACAGGAAGGGCACCTGCCAGACAAAAGAGGGTCTGCTGGACGCAGGCAAGGAGGTGCCCAGGAGCCAGGGCACCTACAGCCCAGCGGGTGGGGAAGAAAACAACCAGAGGAGCAGGGAGGAAGGGCTGAGAGAAGACAAAGGAATGGCTGGAATTCTTACCTCCTGATGCTGCAAGCTTGAGGTCATCTGAGCCATCCTCATATGTGTACAGCGCCCTGGGGAGAGGGAGTGGTGATTCTTAGAACTGTCAAGGCCCAGGCTGCCAATTTTGGGTGGGGACAGCTCTAGGGAGGAGGAGGAGGGACACAGAGGGGGCAGGACAGGAAGGGGGCTCTGCCCCAGCCCTCACTGCCTAACAATAGGGCTAGGAACTATTTCTGGAGGGGGAAGCCCTGAGACCGGGTAGCAGGACGCCTGGATTAGGTGGGGAATAAACAATGGGGTCTGGGTAGAAATCACTGTCCATGTCCTGGGAGCTCTGGTCCTGGCAGCCTACAACTCAGCAAGCGGGTGTGCTCCGGAGATTCCAAGGCGATGGTTCCTTGGTTACTGTTCCCTGGCTACCACGCTCCTCATCGCCCATTGGCTGTTGCCAGGCGTGTCTCGGTACCCATCGCCCCTCCCCTCACAGCAGGAAAAGGGGAGGAGAAAGAACCTGGTGCTCACTCTGATCAGGGCATCCCCTGGTAACCATGGCAACCCAGCGACTGGCACATGACTGGCCCACTCCAACTGCAGGCTCCTGAACACAAAGGACCCCAGGGACACACCCTCAGCCTTAATCTCTGTCTCGCTGAGATGTGGGTGAGGTAGCCCAGGTCGCTCTTGCCCAGACTGTGGCCCCTGGTTGCTTTTACTCCCCTGGTCCTCCAGCCCCTGGGCCCCCTCTGCCGCGGCGAGGCCCTGGCCTCCTGGGACTGCCAGCCTTTCTTCAGCCTTAGCTTCACCAGAAAGCTGACTTAGCAGCCTTCCTCGCTTTTCTCCTCCTTCCTCGCTTTTTCGCCCCAAGAGGCAGTGGCACAGCGTCCATTTCACAGAAGGGGAGGCAGAGATGTCTGTTTCTGAGGATCCCCTTCGGGAGAACAGGCCTGGGGCCAGGAAGGAAGGCCTTGTTCCAGAGGCTCCAGAGGGCTCAGTCCCTCCCCATTTCCCTATTGCCCAGCCTAGGAGAGGTGGTGGGAGCACAAGGGTCCGGACAAGAGAAAGGGAGAGTCGGTGGGAAAAGCAGGGAGAGAGGAAGAAAGAGAAGACAGGAAGAAAGGGATAAAGAGGAGAGGAAGGAGAGAGGAAGGGAAGGGAAAGAAAAAGAAGGGAGAGAGGGAGGAAGCAGGAGAGGAGGGCCTGGCCAAGCCCCATGAGGTCAGCACAAGTCACTGCTAAGGACACACACACACACACACACACACACATCAATTCCCAGGATCCCTCCCTCCTGAAAGGGACACAGGTGGGCTGTGAGGGGGGAGCTCTTGGCCCAACTGTTGCCAGGGCCCCATTGCTGGCAGCTGCTTTCTCCCCCGCCTCCTCTCCCCCCCCCCCAACAGCTGTCCCACCACCTGTCCGGCTGCCCTAGCCCACCACTGGGAACAAAGGGCCCTCAGAGAAGCAGGATCTGTCCTTCCCAATCCCACAGATGAGAAACTGAGGCCGCACTCTGAGACCCTGGTTCCCAGACACTGCCTTAGGCAGCACATGTCCCAGGGGTGAATCTCAGCCTCTCGAAGGCTCTGTGGGCCCTCGCTCCTCCCAGGGACGCCTGCCCTGCCCTTTCCACCCTCAGTCCGTGCCTACCTACTTCCCGGCATCTTTCTGACTCCGGCCACAGCCCTGACCAGGCAGAAACCATAGCTAACTCCCAAGGCTTCCACAGGCCTTCGGTCCTGAGCTCTCCCCACCCGCCTTCCCTGCTGGGTTAACCGGGATGGCTCCCTGATGCCGAACACAGCTTTGAATATTTCCCACTCTTGAGACTTTGTGTGTGTGGTTCCCTTCGCAGAAGAGCGAGGCCTGTTTCTCCACCCCACGCCACCCTCGGCAGAAATCCCTCAGGGTCCTGATGCCAGACCTCCAGGAAGCTGTGTGCCTCCCCACACCACTGACCCCATCCCAGCAGGGAAGGGAAGAGGCATCGGAGCCCACCCCGGATCTCGCCGACCCAGTGCTTCTCAAACACATCAGAGGCAGCCTGGGCAGCACAAGGAACCAGGAGTGGGGGAACCGGGACTCTATGTCACCAGCTCCAGCCCCTGGTGACAGACATTGCCTTGAGCCTAAGCTTCGTGAAGGCAGACATCTGACTCAGTCAGCCAACACATTTCACCCTCTGGGTTCAGGATCCAGCACACAGCAGCACCAGTAGGCATTTGTAATATCGACGCAAACTCTGAGAAGCCATCTAGACCAGAGAAACTGGAAGAGGTAGGAGCTGGCATATGACAGCTCCAAGGGGTCAGCTGAGGCCAGAGGCGGAGGGCAGGAAGAGCCCTCCGGACAATCGCACTCTCAGATGTGAGAGATGGAAGAGCCCTGGATGTCCCAGCGATGGTTGAGCCCAATCCCCTCTTCTTCGTTTCTTTTGTTTCTTCTTATTATTATTATTTTTAAAGTGTTTATTGATTTGAGAGAGGGAGGGAGAGGGAGAGAAACATTGATGAGAGAGTGGAACATAGATCGGCAGCCTCCCCCCTACTGGGGATGGCGCCTGCCACAGGGCATGTACCCCAATGGTGAATGGGTGCACGGGAAGACACTCAACCAGCTCAGCCACACTAGCCAGGGGCCCCTGTTCTTATTTTCAAGAGGACCAGAGAGGAAGGAGTTCTCGTGTGGTCACACCGAGTCATGTCATATCCAGGGCAACACTGGCTCTTCCTGAGTCCCCTCTCCCCGTGGCTGGACAGTGGTCCATTTCAAAAGAAGTGAGCTCGCCCCACCACCCTCACCACGCAGAGGCAAGGGAGCGGTGGACCACCTTCCTTTACCCAGGCAGCAATCTCATCCAAGACACCTTCTTCCGGCCTCTGAGGACAGGGTGCGCTCCTGAGTCCTGAGACCCCACCGTAGCCCCAGCTCAGGGCTGGCAGCTGCGGGCACTCATGCCCCCCCCCCCCCCCCCCGCAGGATGTCATCTTCACCCCTTTTTACAAAACGCCACCTCAGCCCTGGGGAGTGAACAAATGTGTGCACAGGCAAGGGTACATGTGTGCATCTGTGTGTCCCACACAGAACCCAGATGGGAAGTGACGCATGCCAGCGATGAATAACTAGTTTTGGCCACATGGATCCTGCTCGGGGACGGGAGCCCAGGGCTCTGCGGAGCAGGAGGTGGGCCAGCAGTGGCCTCCGGAGTTCTGCTTCTGGGAAGTTAGGGGCAGTGATAGGGTGGTAGACGGTACCCCTAGACGGAGGGCGAGGGGGGCATTCTGAGATGGACCACGCCCCTCCCCAGGCAGGGCCCATCATATCCCAAGGCCACCTCCTCCACCCGGCCACGCTGGCCCCTTGCCCTGAACTCCTCCCATGATCTCAGCCCCCAGGAGCAGGGCTGGGACAGCGGGCTGGCCGTCCACCCCCTTAGCCCACGCTGGCCTCTCCCATGACTGACCTGCGGAACATGGGAGCTTGTCTCCCGAGTCCATCTCGCCAGGCAGGCCTGGCCACCCGCCAGTGCTGCAGCATCGTGGCAGGGACGCCTGGCCACCCGTCCCTTCCTCCAGCCCTCAGGTCACTATTCCTACCGGAATGCCCTCCCTACTTGGGGAAGGCCAGCCAGGGGAGGTCCCTCGGGCCTGCCCTCACCCTGTGCCTTGGTATCCTGCTGCCAGCGGGAGTAGAGGTCTGGGAATAGAATGGGTACCTCACCCAGGAGATGAGTATTTTGGGGGTGAATGGTTCCTGAATGGGGCAGTGTGGAACCCCTTAGCTTGCTCACCACCCTGAGGAGCCCAGCCCCAGGGCAGGTGGTCCACCGCTCCCAGCTCACGGGGAGACAATAGCTGTGGAAGGGAAGGAGGGCACGCCAGCTCCTCCCCCACCAGGGAGCTGGGAGCCCCTTGCACTGGCGATGGGGCCGAGGGTTCAGCAGATCTGCTCAGCTCTTCACCCCTTCCTGGGGGCTCCCCCAGGCTTGAGCGACCGAGGGCTTCCTCCCAGGGTCCCCAGATGGCCCTCGAGGCGGGCAGTCCGGCCCCCTCGGCGTCTCCCAGTCCAGCCGCCCGGTCCCTGAAATCCCCGTCGCCCCTGCCTCCACCCCGCGGCCCCGGGGAAGAACAGGAGTCCCCGGGCTGTTGCCATGTGGCAGTGAACCTCTTTCCATCACACCCCAACTCCTCCGGGAGGCCCCCCCGGTGGGCGGGGCGCCGGCCCCTGGCCCTCCCCGCTCCTCCCCCGCCCGGCGTTCCTTTGTGCCGCGGCCGTCCGGCCGGCCGAGCTCCGCTAGCTGGGTCGCCGCCCCGCCCCGCCCGGCCCGTGCCCGCTCCGAGGTAGCGAAGGTGCCCTTGGCCGGCCTGTGCACACCTGTCCCCGGGGCCCGGGCCGGGGGATGGGCTCCTGCAGGGCCCCGAGCCCGGGCCACACGTCGGGACCCCGCGCGCCCCCGGCTGCGTCCGGCCCCCTCTCCCCATCGCTCCGGGCGGCGGCGCCCAGCGGGACCCCGGCCCCTCCCCCGGCGCACAAAGGCACCCCCTGCGGTCCCCCCTCCCGGGCCGCCTCACCATCTCGGGGTCCCCCCCTCCCCCGCAGCCGAGTGGCGGGCAGATGGAGACAAAGGCGCGGCGGCGGGGACAAAGGGCCGGCGGGGGCGGGGGGCTCACCAGTCGGCCGCGCTCTCCTCGCGGATCACCTCCTCGTACGCCGCCAGCAGCTCCAGGCGGTGGCCGCTGAAGCTGACGCCGGCCATGCTGCGGGGCGGACCGGGCCGAACGGCGGATGCACAGACGGACAGACGGAGGAGGAGGAGGGAGGGGAGGAGGGAGCCGCCGCCGCCGCCGCCTCGGAGCCTCTGCAGCGCTGCGAGCGGAGAGCCAGCGGCCGGGGGAAGGGAGCCGGCCGGCGGGGGGCGGGGGGCGCTGGCTCCGCCCGGCTCGTCCCTCCGCCTCGGTCCTAGCGCCGCCCCGGCCCGGCCCCGGGGGAGGCCCGCCCCCCCCTTCCCGGCCTGCCCCGGGCGCCCCCGCGCCCCTCAGCCAGCGCCCTTTCGCCCGCCCAGCTCGGTCCCCGGGTTCTCAAGGCCTGTCCCGCCCGCGTCCCAAACCCTCACCTACCTGGGCCCCAGCCTAGGTGCTCAGCCTCCTCCTCAACCCCAAACCCGGCCCCGGCCCCAACCTCACCGACTCAGTTTCTTCTTCTTATCAGCTCCCAGTCCCACCCCAAACCCACTTCACTTCAATCCCGCCAGCCCCATCCCTTGCTTAATTTATTATCTGTATCCGGGCTTCATCCCGGTGCATCCCTAACCCCCAGCCCCAAGCCACAAAGCACACAGCCCATCTGCCGCCCATCTGCACCTCTGAAAGGCCCATTCCTAGTCCATCAGGTCACTGTCCATTGCCATCTGCATCCCAACCCTCAATTCAGCCAATTTTCCTTTCCCATCCCAGCAGCTCCAGCCTCAGTCCCAACTCCATGCTTACCATGCACCCCCACTCATGAAACGCCATCCCCCGAGCTGCACCCTCCTCAGTCCAGTCTATCCTGTTCCCATTCTGATCCCAGTTCCCAAACACACCCCTCCATCCCTGCCTCCTAGACCATTCCCGGCCCCAACTCACACCCTTAGCCCAGCATTGCCATCCTCTCCCACCACCTCTGCCCCACCCCTAGGCTGATCCCCCTCCCTACCAGCTGCCTCCTGGGCCCTCTCAGAACCAGCCAAGGAGAGAGACCCTTTGCCTTGTCCCTAAGCTTCAAGCCTCCCGGAGCAGACTTCCTTCTGGAAGTAGCATCGAGTTCTGAGTTGGCCAAGACACATACGAGAGTAAGTGGTGTGTGTATTGATCTCCAGCAGCCGTTCCCAGTGCTTTAGAGGACAGCCCTCTTAAAATCCACAACATTTCCCCAGACCCCTGCCTGGGAAGCTCTGTGCCCGCTATGCCCATGAACCCCTGGCCCTGGCAGTTTCTCCACAGCCCACACTTGGCACGAGGTCGGAGGATTTGGGAGAGGGAGGAGACCCCACAGCAGGGCCAAAGGGACCTGGGACAAGTAGGTAGAGGGATGTTGGGCCTCAGCCCGAGGCACAGAGCTGCCGAGTGATAAAGTCTGCACGGGAACCCACGTCACTACAGCACACCACAGACCCTCCTCGCGGCTCCTGGCCTGGAATGCGGTCAGATGTGGTTCCCCAGGCTACAGCCAGCTGGAGGGGGTAGGGCAGGAGGCAGGGAGTAGGTGTCCCGGACAAGGAGGGTGTAGCCAGTGCAGCAGCATCCATGCTCAGGCATCCTTATTACATAAAAGCCCTTCAGGCTGAGAGCAGAAAGAAAAAGGCTGACAACTCTACGTTGTATCAAGAGTTTATTAAGGGAACTTACAGATGAGATGCATCTTGGGTGGCAAGATGAGGTGGCTACTGTGTGTGCCGAGTGGCAGACACTAAGGGGTTCTAGAGGAAAGGGCAGGATGGATGGGGATGTGAGGGAGTGACCCTCCCCAGATAAAAGGAAAATGCTTGCTTGTGGGCAATGGCCTATCCCAGGAACCAGGACAAAGGGAAGCCTAAGGGAGGCGCTGATCAGTCTCTGGGGGGACTTATGGGAAGTGACCTCTGTTCTGGCCCTGATCTCGCTGGTTCCAGCCTGAGGGCCCAGCAGCAGCCACCTCATTGAACAGTCCGTCTCCACCACAATCCCTCCTGTCCTCTGGCCGATTTCTCACCATAGGCTCCAGAGGGGGAGTATACAATACAGGACGGTGGGTCAGACCCAGTGACTACTTCAGGGATGGATACGTGATCCAAATCAGTCCAATGGGCACCAGCCCCCAGGGACTTTTGCTGGAATCATTAAGGCTCCACGGGGGCTGCTGAGCTGGCAGGCGGTGGGCCTGGAGCTGGTGGAGGGGTCTCTTTGCCAATGGTGGGGAGAGCCTCCTGAGGAAAGCTGCGCAGAGATGGATGGAAACTCCTGATAACACCCATGGTACCAGACCCCACCAATCTGAAGCCATTAACCTTGTCCGTTAAATGAGACAAACTCTCTGTCTCTAATGAAACTACTTTGAATTGCAGTTGAAAGAGTCCTTCCTGATCCACTTAGTCCCCAAGTAATGGTCTTGTCAGAGGCAGGAAGGTGAGTTGACCTTGTAGCCCCCCAGGCTTTGATTGGCACCCAGAACAGTCCTGGTGCCCTCCCTGAGCACTGTGGTGACCCCACTGCACAACGCACCCACCTCCCAAGTTCTCCTCAGGCGCCCAGCAAGCTTGTGCTTGTCCCCTCAGCGCCCCTGGAACTCTACCCCTCACCCCCACCAACTGGGGAGGAGCCCCACCTCCACGCTCAGGTTGGCTTTGGACTCCGTGTGGCCGCTGCTCCCTTTGTGCCGTGGGGCTCGCCCCTAAGCCCAGGCCTCAGATCCCTCCCGTGGCCTGGCCGCGTGGGGGTCCGCAGGGTTGTGTGCATCTCGTGTGTTCCCAGGCCACGCGGCACCGAAGAGGCAGCACCAGAATCATCAGTTCCAGCCTGTTCTCTGTACCCTGGTGAAACAGTTTGCTTGCCCTCCACTGCCTCCTCCTGCTGACTTCAAATGAGCTCCAGCCTCTGTGAGCTGGAAAAAGCCTCTCTCTTGCTGGCTGTCTTTCCAGCTGCCCACTCAGACCCCTGCCAGGGGCTCTGCCCCCTCAGCTGGGGAGACTGAACTCTCCAAGGGTGCTAATGGCCCCCCTGCCAGACACCGGGACGTTTCCCAGTCACCATCCCCCAGCCTCACAGCCTGCATCCAGCTTCAGAACACGGCGATCCCTGCAGTTCTGTGCGGGGACAGCCTGAGGTGCAGTGAGGAGCCGGCCCTTTGATCCTGGACACCGCAGACCTGGCCGCTCTGGCTCTGGACAGGCCACTTTCCCTCTCTGAGCCTCTGGTCCCTTATCTGAAACACGCCATTAATGAGATTGCTCTTAAGTGCATTGTGAGGACTAGATGAAATTAAGTGATGGCTCTGTGGGTGCTGGCAGAGACGACCATTCAGAACAGGAACTTCCTTCCATTTAGGCGAGCCCTCTTTCTGAGGCTCAGTCCCCAGATGTCTGCTCTTCACGTTTCCCTTACATTCTCCCACCTTCCCTCAGCAGACACCTTCCCCGCGCCCTCCCTCCACCCCTCTTGACACTTAGCTGAGTGAGTGGCTGCGAGTGGTCCTCTTGGCCACCACAGCCCAGCCTGCTAAGAGTGCTGTCTGCACTCTCTTGTCTGCGCTCTCCTTCCACATCCTCCCCCGCCCCCTTGTTCCTGTAACCCAGCTCTCAGCTAAACTGATCTGGCTGAGTTACCTTGTTGCGAAATGCCTCTGGACGCCTGGCCTTATCTGCCTGCTTGACACTGTTGGCAGTTTCTGGAAACACTCTTGCCCAGCCCCAGCCCCCTCACCAGAGTCACCAGGTCTACAGGCCCGCAGCTCTCGTCTTTGGCGGCTCCCGCTTCCTCTGCCCAGAGCTGTGATGCTGGTGCTTCCCGGGCTCTATCTCTTATCTGTGCTGGGGCCTGGCTGACCTCACACTGCATTTGGCCCACATTTATTATTTTTTAAAATAGGATTTTAAGAAATCTTAGTTGCCAACATTAAAAAAACAGATTTCACATAAAGGTCTGAATCTCTGGATGCTGCTAATAAGCTGGCAGGTCTGGCCACAGCTCGGCGTTCCCTCGTGGCAGCCCCGGGTTGAGGATGAGGGTGGTGCCTGGGAGAGGCCACTCCCCAGAGGACTCCCAGCAGCACTCACCATCCACCCCTGTGATCTTACTCGCTTGTATCCATGGAAACCAAGTGTGGACTGAGGGCTTCGTGGTTCAAGAGAAACGGCAGAGATTGCACGTTGCTGTGGAAGTGGGAGGTACTATTTAATATGCTACGGATGTCTATGTTGGAAGAAAGCCATGTCCCTCCTGCTTGTCTCTTGGTAGACCTGCCTGGGTCCAGCTCCCAGCCACCCATAGGCATCAATTAGAAGCATCTGTGAGGACTGCCCCAGACCTGTTCCAAAGTCATTCCAGAATCCACGGTGAACCCAGACTTGAATCTTCAGCTGCTCCCTGAATGTTCTCCTAAATGTTTCACAGGCACCTCATTCAGTCTCTCAACAAACATTTTTTGGCCTCCACAATGCACCAGGAACCGACAAGACATGAAAACAACACAGGAAGCCCTGTAATTATTGCCCAGGGTCCTCAATGGTTCTCTACTCTTAAAGGGGAGGGGCCCAACAACTTCAGATGCTCATGCCCAGGAGCCTGAGGGACAGGTGGTCATGGACACGTTGCACTGTCCAGGCCTAGTTTGGGCCCGCTCTCCAGTCCCTTCTCAGTCCAGGCTTAGGACCGGAGTGATGACAGACCCCCTAGGCTGGAGGAGGGCACCAGTTAGAAGCAAGAGCCCCACACAGGTAAGGCCACACCAGAGTCTCCAGGTGTCAAGGTACCAGGCAGAAGTGAGCCTCCCATTTCAACTCTTCTCTGACCTCCACACCAGGCTGGATCAGGATCCCGCCCTCTCCTGTCCCCCCCATTTCCCGCACCCCATGGGTACCTTGGCCTAGCACATGGAATCCCCCTTCCTCTCCTCCGGCTGACCAAGAGTCCTCTTTGTCCCCATCACAAGGACTACGAGGATGGTTAGCCCTAAGAAAACCAGCTTAACCTCTACCCTGATACCTGCCTCCAACCCCACCACTCCTCATGCTCAGGGAGGAAGCGCACACAGCACACAACTGGACACAGGTTTATTGTGGATGTGAACAGGGGCCGGTGTGGCCAGCACCGTGTGCAATGGCGGTGGAGGGAGTGAGGGAGATAAAGGGGGTGAGGCAGGGCCTAGGGAACCCCAGGCTCGGGCCAGGGGTCGGGGTTGGGGTGACCTTTGCCAACCCTACCCAGAAATCTGGTGGGATGACTCCGGAAACGGTGGTGACCCCGGCAGCTGGGCCGGGAGCGGCAGCAGTGGGCTGAAGGGCTCACACGTGGGAGAAGGCATGGCTCTTGCAAAGGGGTTTGTCCTTCTTGGAGTAGAAAGTCTTTCCTTCCAGGTTGATCTGACAAATCTGGGGACAGCAGGGTCTAGTCACTTGGGGTTGGGGGTAGCCGGAAGAGCCCCTTCCTAACCTCTCATGGATCCCAGAGGCAGGCAGGGGAGGAAAGCTGGGGAAGACCACAGGGTGCTGGGGGTGGAACCCAAGATGAGGGGCACTCACCGCACACACAAAGCACGTGTCATGCCAGCTGAAGCCCAGGGCCTCCAGGAAGCGGTCCCCAGCATCGATCTTGAAGTCACAGCCTCGGCATTTTGTGCCAAACATCTTCTCATAGTCTGGGAGGGATGGAGGCAGAGAGGAAGAAGGAGCTGGGTTCTCACCTGCATTGGCCACGCCCCTTTCACTTGGCCCTGCCCCTTAATTCTTTTAAAAAAATGTTTTTATTGATTTTATCGACTGATTTATTTAAATACTAAAGGCCTGGGCACGAAATTTGTGCACGGAAGGCAGGAGTGTCCCCTCGGCCTAGCCTGCACCCTCTCCAATCTGGGACCCTTGGGGGATGTCTGACTGCTGATTAAGGCCTGATCCCGGGGATTGGGCCTAAACCAGCAGTCGGACATCCCTCTCACAATCCTGAACTGCTGGCTCCTAATCGCTCACCTATCTGCCTGCCGGTTACCCCCAAATGTTCCCCGCCCCCCTCCCCACCAGCCTGATCGCCCCTCACTGCTTCTGTGTGCTGGCCTGATTGCCCCTAATTGCCCCCACTCTGGCAGAGATAGAAACGACAATGACAACAGAGAATCAACAGAGAATCATCAATCGGCTGCCTCCTGCACACCCCCTACTGGGGATTGAGCCTGCAATCCGGGCATGTACCCTTGACCAGAATTGAACCTGGGACACTTCAGTCTGCAGGTCAATGCTCTATCCACTGAACCAAACCAGCAAGGGCTGTTTTTATTGATTTTAGAGAGAAGAAGGGAGAGGGATAGAAACACTGATGAGAAACACATTTATTGGCTACCTCCTGCATGCCCCTACCAGGGATTAAACCTGCAACCCAGGCATATGCCCTAAGTGGGAATCAAACCTGGGATTTCGCCAGGACTGGTTTGGCTCAATGGATAGAGCGTTGGCTTGGGGACTGAAAGGTCCCAGGTTCAATTCCGGTCAAGGGCATGTACCTTGGTTGCGGGCATATCCCCGGTAGGGGGTGTGCAAGAGGCAGCTGATCGATGACTCTCTCTCATCGATGTTTCTGACTCTCTGTCTCTCTCCCTTCCTCTCTGTACAAAATCAATAAAATATATTTAAAAAAAAAAAAAAAAAAAAAACCTGGGATTTCTTGGTTTATGGGTTGATGCTCAACCACTGAGCAATACCAGCTTTGCAGCCCTCCCCCCATTTCTTACCTCGCTCACAGTAGGGCACCCCTTCTTCCATGTAGAAGGCCCTGTTCCGAATGGGTGTCTTGCAGGCTGCGCAGGTGAAGCAGTGCACGTGCCAAGTCATCTTCAGGGCATGCATGATTTCCTGGGAGGAGGTGACAGTCAACTGGCAGCTCAGCCCCCTCCTTCCCACAGTAAATGTGACATCTCCCTCCCACTCCCTATCGCCCACCCTGAGGTCTCCTGGTGATGTCCACTATGCCCCTGACTTGGCATGTTCAAAGCTCAGCTCCCAGTCTCTGTGCCCTAATCTGCTCCTCCCAAAGCTGCCCTCACCTCCATTTTTGGCAACTTCATCCTTCCACCTACACAGGCCAAATCCCCTCTCACACTCTGTGTCAGACCCACCAGGGAATCCTGTTGGGCCCCCCTTCACAATGCATCCAGATCCTGACCAGTGCCCAGCTCCCTGATGCAAAGTGTGAGCCTCACATCTCCAGCGAGGTGACCCCATAAAACCAGCCTCCACACTTCTCCCTCTCCTCCTACAGACTGATGTTAACCCGAGCCAGGCCACATCCCTCCGCTACAATCCCTGCCTGCTCCACATTTCTCTGAGCAAAAGCCAGAGTCCTGTAATGGGCCCAGAGGCCAGCAGGTCTAGCCTGTCCCTCTGCTGCCTCTACACAGACTCTCGGCCGTGGTCAATGCACCACACACCGTCTTGGGGCTTCACACCAGCTGCCCCCTCTGTCTGGATTGCTCTGCCAACCTGGTATCTGCAAGGTTCAGCCCTCACCTCTTTCAAGTTTCTGCTCAAATGTTGCCTTCCCCATGAGCCCCACTCTGATAACATCGGTTCATACATTTATTTAAAAATGGAAGAGTGGTCCCAGCTGGTTTGGTTCAGTGGATAGAGTGTCAGCCTACAGACCAAAGGGCCCTAGGTTCTATTCAAGTCAAGGACATGTATCTTTTTTATTTTTAATATTTATTTTTAATTTATTTCAGAGAAGAAGGGTGAGAGATGGAGAGTTAAAAAAAATCAATGATGAGAGAAAATAATTGACTGGCTGCCTCCTGCACGTCCCCTACTGGGGGAGGGCGTTGAGCTGGCAACCGGGGCATGTGCCCTTGGCTGGAATTGAACCTGGAACCCTTTAGTCTGCAGGCCAACACTCTACTGAGCCAAACTGGCTAGGGCAAGGATATATATATATATCTTGGTTGCAGGCTCCCCCCCTCCCTCCCCGCACACCTCCTACCTCCGGCCCTGGCCCAGGCCCTGGTCAGGGCTCATGCAAGGAAGCAACCAATCAATGTTTTTCTCATATCAATATTTCTCTTTCCCCCTCTCTTCAACGCTCTCTAAAAATCAATGGAAAAATATCCTCAGATGAGGATTTTAAAAAATAATAATAAAATAAAAATGGAAGCGTGTGGACCAAGCTATATCTGAGCGCCTAGGTCTCAGATATACCATCTGTGCCCTTCACAAGGTCAGTGTCACATATTACATCACACCACAAGCATCCCGGCAGGACTCACTGCCCAGAGAAAGCAACAGGCCCCCAAAAGATGGCAGAAATGGGTTCTGTGCCCGTCTGGTCGACTCCAAAGCTGGCTCTTCCCACTGCCTAGGACAGGACAGGGGCTCCCGCAGGGTGTGGGGGCCCACAGCTGGCCCAGTGGGTACATGGCGGGAAGGCAGGCCTCTGCTGGTATCCACAAGGACCTGTGAGCAGTACTATCTATTTTACCCCTAGTTTCCTAAATCTGTCTGCTTTTCCCACCTGTGTCCTTCTAGCAGCCCCTGATCCCAGCAGATTGGGGAGGTCAGCCTCCTATCCCATCGAGAGTGTGGGTGCTCCTAGGGTCTATCAGGCCCTGGAATCCCTACAAGAGGGGAAGCTGAGGCTGCAGGGCCACTCTGTGGAACCACCAGCCTGGGCCAGGGCAGGAGCAGAGTTTGCCATCAAAGCTCACTCCAGAACCCAGGATTCAGCCTGTTCTGTGAGCCTCAGCTCCTCATCTGTGGCCTGGGTGATAAACCTGCCCGCCTAGGACCTGGAGGGGGGGCAGGAGGAGTGCAGTGTAATCCAGCAGAAAATCCAGACGCCCAGCTCACGAGACCCTGGGATCCAGCCCATTTCCCAGAAGAGTCAAATGGAGGTGGCCTATTCCGGCAAGGAAATGGCTGTGATCTTGGACAAAACTCCCTCATCTATCAGAAAGAAATAACCAAACTGACTTCATATGATTGTGAAGCTGGATGCCTACACACAGTAAGTGCCACGTGAACTGTCACTATAATGACGAAGATTATGATAATGTCCATTCTCCCATCTAATGATGGAACCTCTTTTTGCTGGTCACATGGCTGCCCCACATGGACTGTAGCCTCCCTTGAAGCTCAGTGGGGTCATATGACTGAGTTCTGGCCAATGGGATGGAAGCAGAGAGCTGGGTGGCAGCATCTTCTAAAGACAGCTGACATCCCTCCCTCCCTTCCAATGGCATGCTGGCTGGAACATGAAGATTCTGGCTGAAGTCCAAAACCATGGGCTGTAAGTGGTAAGTAAACCTGTGCAGACAATGGCCGAGTAACAAGATCTAGGAGCCTGGATCCTTCTACCAGTCCTGGGTTGCCCACCTCTGGACTTTAAAAAAAATATGCTTATAATTATTTCAATGAGAGGAAAGGAAAGGGAGAGACAGAAGCATCAATGATAAGAGAATCACTGATCCACTATCTGTTACACGCCCTCCATTAGGCATGTGCCCTGACCGGGAATCGAACCGTGACCTCCTGGTTCATAGGTTGACACTCAACCACAGAGCCATACCAGCCAGGCTGGACTTTCTTAGGTGAGAAATAAGCTGCCATCATTTTGAATTTTCTACCACTTGCAATCACGGTAACCTAATATGAGTATCACCACAGAGCTCTCTGGCTACCTGTGACAGCTCTGCCTCTGGACCCAGAAATAAGAAGCATGAGTGACAGGAAGAGCCCACGCTGGAGTCAGCTGAGCCTGAGGCTGTTTCCAACTCGTTCCCCTACTTTGTGAAGCCTCTTGCTCCTTTCTGGACTTCAGTTTCCAGAAATATACACAGTAACCCTCTCAGTTTGTTATCCCTGCTTGTTCTGTACCCTTTTCTCTGGCTCTGTCTTCAGCCCGATACCCTCCACATTCCCTTCCCATGTGAACTCCTGTCTCTTCACAAGGTGTCCCCAGCACGGGCTCACTGCCACACTTAACAAAGAGAACTAATGGGGAAGGCAGGCAGCCCGTCACCCTTAGCCATGACACGTGTGACCTAAGTCCCTAGCCAGCTCCAGTGGCAGCTCAGTTGCCCTGCAGGAAACCTGGCCAGGATATGCTGTGTGTGTAGTCTCAGTGGTAAGACTAAGATTTTGAACCACAAGTTTTGAGCGTGAGTTTCTGGCTTTGCCACTCAATAGTCCTGTGTCCTTCTAGCACACCAAATCATCTCTCAGTGGCCTCATTTTCTCATGCATTAGAACAGCCTCTCAAAAGACTGTCACAAATAACCCCCTTCTCTTTGGTCTTCCACTCTTAGGAGTTTGCTCTGTGGCCTAGGTGCCCAGCTCTAACTACTGAGATAAAGATGCACATTCCTGGTTTTTCTTCCAGTTTAAAGGCACAACTTTATTAAGAAAATACCATTTGCCCCTCTGCCTCCTTCCTGTCTGCAGCAAGAATATAAGGTCAGGGCCTTGCACAGTCACCTGGTAACCATGACAGGATAAGTTTGGGAACAAAGTCTATGGGCTAAGGATTTTGGAGCAAAAGGCAGGAAAAGCCCAAAGGCATCCATAAGCTGCTATCCCAGCCCTGCAGTTTTTATGATGAACTATAAACCCTTCTGCCTAAACCTCTGCAGTGGGCTTTTCTGTCACTGCAGCCAAGTGCAGTGACACAGCCACAGCTTGTTTCAACTTGATCCACATGTACTTCCCTTCTTCGGGAACGTTATGCTAGTTTTCACTCAGGGAACCTGTCTTCCCCCATTCTCAGCCAACTCCCGCTCCAGAGCCCGTGTCACCAGGCCAGACCAATCAGAGACACGGGGCTTGGGTCAGAGATGGGCAGGTGACGCAAGCCAGGCCGATGAGCAGCAGCACTGGCACTCCTGGTGCATCACCTGGCCCAGAAGTGAAGCTGAGCTGACGCTCACTCTGCAGTGCTAAGCTGGGATGTAACCTGGAGCTGCGGTGGCTCCGTTTTTGCTGCCTTCTAGGGAACAGCAAGCTGGGAATGAAGCCAACAATGAAAACAGAGGCAAGGAATAAGAAGAGTCCTGATGACCTCAAGACCTGCCATCAGCTGGGCCTGAAATTTAGCACCCCTTGGGCTTGTCAGTTATTTGAGCCAATACACTTTTTTTGTTGTTGTTAATCCTCACTAGAGGATATTTTTTCCCATTGATTTTTAGAAAGAGGGAAAGGGAGGGAGAAACATCCACTGTATGCCTCCTGCACACGTGCAACTGGGGACCAGGGATCAAACCTGCAACCCAGGGAGGTGCCCTTGCCCTTGACCAGGAATTGAACCCACAACCCTTTTGGTGCATGAGCTGGTGCTCTAACCACTGAGCACACCAGCAAGGGCTGAGCCAATACACTCTTGCTCAAGCCCTTTTGAGTAGGATTCCGGTCATTGTTAAAAGGATCCTGACTAATACAAAGTGAGACCAACAGAGCAACCCATTTATTAAGCTACTAAGGATGGAAAGGGCTCATGCAGGTAGAGCCCCAACAGGGTCAGACACACCTTCCCACCCACCTGCCAACCCCACTCACGCCTGTGATCTTCTTCTTGCACTTGGCACAGCTGGGTGCGTAGCGCATGTCGTAGCAGGGTGGGCAGAAGATGGCACCCTTCTCCTCGAAGAAGCCGCCCTCTTCAAGGACCATCCCGCACTGGCTGCACACAAACTCCTCGGGGTGGTACGCATGACCCAGTGCCACCAGATAACGGCCCCTGAGGGGGAGTTGAGGGCAGAGAGAGGGAGACATAGAGATGAGGTGGGAGCTCCTGGCCCGAGCCCAAGCGGGTTTACAGAACACCTGCTCTGAAGCCTGGAAAGGTAAGTTCATTCTCTGCATTTCCCAAGAAAGGGAGGAAATGGGCTTGGGAGATGACTTGCCCACGGTCACTCAGGGAGAACAATGAAGCTGTATCACTCTATGACAGGAGTGGTGCAGTGTGGGAATAAGGAGGAGGGTTACACTGGGTGGGGCTGCTGGCATGGGCCAATGAGCCTGAGCAGCTGGGGCCCTGCAGGGCAGAAGGCCCAGAGTGCCCATGAGCCCTGAAGACCAGCGGGTACCTGAGCTGACGCTCTCCTGCTTGCCTGGGGAGAGGCCCACAGGTCCCACGTGCTGCAGGGCATCAGAGCTGATAGGAGTCAAGAGCAGGGGTGGAGCCAAGAACTAGAAAGCCTCTAGAATCTGGTACTTTGATTCTTGGGGGAAGGTTTGGGATCCGGTTGGACCCCAGAGAGCAATGCAGAGAAGGAGGGGCCCCAGGCCAGTCTGCAGAGCAGAGACCAAGCAAATAGGAAGGAGAGAGGCAGCGGGGCTGGGAGGGGCACAGAGAGTAGCCAGTCCATGGGTGAGCTCTGATGCATTGCTTCCATTTCACTGGGGCAGACGCTGATAAAGACTGATGTGTGGAGGGGGAAAGAGATGCAAGTTTCAGAATCTGAGGACCCAGGTCAAGTTCCTACCACCACTCCAAATGGGAACTGAATCTGTATCCTGTGCAATGGCAGCCGCGATGAGTGGGGAGACGGATGGGGGAGCAGCGGTCAGAAGGACACTAGGACAAGGCATCAGGTCAGGAAAGGAACCGGGCACCCACCGGATGACCTTGTGGCACTGGTGGCACACAGGAGTCTTGCCATTGCTGCCACCGCCCCCTCCTGTGCCCCCTCCAGCAGCCGCCTGCACGATGGAGGTGCGGTTCTGCAGAGGCGTGGGTGTGGCGGGCTGGCTGTGCCGGGTCAGCACCGTGCTCGTCTTGTCCGGGGCGTAGCGCTCGGCAAAGGCAGGGTCCACGGCCCAGGGTGGGCGGCTGGTAGGGCTGGGGGTGGGAGGGCCTGCCAGGGCCAAGGAAAGTGGCTCCGGGGGGGCGCCCAGTAACCCCAAATGACAGGGAGAGAACCCAAGGCAGCAGGGAGAAAACCCACCACCCCCATATCCTGGAGGCCACCCGCCCTTCCCTAGGCCCAAGCCCACTCTCTCTCACCAGGCCAAGGTTCCTGGGATGTAGCTGAGGCTGGGACTGGGGCTTCTGTCCTGGGCACCTGGCTGCAAGATCTGCCATTCAAGGCACTGCACGGCTGGGTCTCCTAACAAGACCCCACCCCCCAACCCATGGGAGATGCCTGGGTGCATGCGAGCTGCTGGGCTGGACTCCAGGTCCCACTGGGTAGGGATGGGTCAGGCAGCTGCTCCCAGCCAGGTTTCGGCAGGCCTGTCTGTTGCACAGGGCTGGGAGGTGGAGCAAGGATCTTGCTTCCAGGGCAGCTCTTGGGACTTCCTCATCCCCAAGATCCAGCTCTGAAGGCAGGGCCCTCTTTGCCAGGTACCACCTCCCATCAAGACCCAGACTGGCAGGGCCCACACTGGGTCCAAGCAATCTAATAACCCACGCCCAAAAATACAAACCAAGCCCACAAAGACAGAGGCAGAGAAAGGAGGACGGAGTGTTTATTTCCATGCCCAAGCCAGCACAGACCCGGTAGACAGTAGTACCAGAGGGCAAAGAGGGAAGGCAGTGGCAGATGAAGCCGGGCCCTATGCCAGGCGGGTAGCCAGGGCCAGGCCAACAGGAGGCTCAGTACAGGAGCAGAAAAGAGGTGGGCCAGGTAGGCAAAAGCTGGAGGCACCGGGGGTGCCCTGGGCAGGAGGGAGAGAGAGAGAGGCAGAGAGGACAGCTGGCCAGCCAGCGCCGGGCTACGACTGCACGTTGAGCACGTGGGCAGAGCGCTGGTGGTGCCAGTCCCGGAGGCGGGTGTAGCGTGGGCTCTGCAGCTCCAGGACATACTTTTCCCTGAGGGGCAGAGAGAGAAGGAGGAGGAAGTCGAAGGAAGGAAAGGTGGAAGGGAGAAAAGGAAGGAGAAAGGGAGGAAGGGAGGAAGGGTGGAAGGGAGAAAAGGAAGGAGGAAGGGAGGAAGGGAGGAAGGGAGGAAGGGAGGAAGGGAGGAAGGGAGGAAGGAAGGAAGGAAGGAAAGAAGGGAGGAAGGAAGGAAAGAAGGGAGGAAGGAAGGAAAGAAAGGAGAATAGAGAGCCCTGGCTGGGGACCCCCAGAGCAGGCACAGAGTGGTGGCTGGAATGGGAGAGGCAGCAGATGAGAAAGAAGTGCCTGTCCTTTTACCTGGACTTCTTCAGGTGCTCCTCATCCGGGTCTTGCACTGAGAAAGCAGAGGCAGGCATTGGCCAAGGGCAGACAGAGGGCCATCCCAGCCCTGCGCCCTGGCAAAGGGTCACAGGGTGCCTAGCCGGCTCTGGCTGAGCCCGGGGCCAGGCTGGGGGCCAGGAGGAGAGTTGGCCCTGCCCTGGGCTGCCACTTACTGAACTCGGTGCCCGTGAGGTGGGCAAGGATGCGGAAGGAGCGGGACTGGCCCGTGCCGGGCCGCGGCCGCCAGTCTTCCGTGTCCTCCATCAGCCGCTGCTTGCTGGGGTCTGGGGCCAGCGGTCGGAGCGGCTGTCTGTGGGGAGGGTGTGGCTCAGAACCTCATGCCAGGGGGGACCAGTGGGGCAGCCCCTCCCGGAATTTGTGCGTGTGGGCTACAGTGATGGGAGAGTGGGTAAGGGCAAGGCCAGGACCCTGCTGGGTGGATGAGGGGGTAGGGTAGATAAGTGAGAGGGAGCCAGGGTTGGAAGGGACCACCACCCGGAATGCCAACAGGAAGGAAGAGAGGGACAAGCAGAGGGGGCTCACTGACTTGTCAGGGGTCTGCACCTGTGAAGGAAATAGACAGATGGGACAGGTAAAGGAAAAAAGGGACAAATACATGGGAAGAAGAAAGATAGCATGGGGTCAGAGTTGCCAGGGGCAAGGCTGCACTGAGTATCTGAGTCTCAGTGGGCCCAACACCACACCCAACCCCCGGGTGCCAGCAGGGGGTGCTGCCTGGCTCAGAGCTCCCATATGGGCAGTGCCTGGGCAGCAGCCATATCCTAGGAGGGACCCTAAACCTGCAGTCTCCGCCCCGGACGCCAGGGGTCACTGCTGCACAGTGCCAGTGGGGCAGGGGTGCAGAGCAGAGAGCAGCAATAGGTGGGCTTAGCGGGTGGACTTAGCATGGGTGGTGGGCCGGCAAGACGGACATACCCATTCTGCTGTGGGGTGCTGTCAGCCAGCAGGGGTGCCCCGAAGGGCCGCGCTGTCTTGTTGAGGGAAGTGCTGGGTGCAAAGGTGTACCGCGGGGGGTCCGAGGCAGGGGCCAGGGCCTGGGCGGAATGGGGAATGGGAGGGGGCCTGGGCCAGAGCTGTGGAAGGGGTGCCCCCCCCACCCGGTGAAGAGAGGACAGTGGTGCTCCAGCCCTGCCCCTACATGTCTGGATGAGGCTTTAGTGGAGGGGATGACTCAGGTCTTAAGGGGCCCATTTGGGAGCAATTATTTCAGCCCACCAGTGCAGCTAGCAGCACAAGCTGGGTAGAGGTGTTGTGGACAGACAGGCAGAGATGCATGGGGTAGCCCTGACCCAACTCCCAGCTCCCCACATTCTCCCAGGCTCCAGCTTCTGCCCCTTACCCTTGGAAGGGGGTACAGAGGCGGTTGTGCAAGGAAAGCAGGCCAGCCGGGAGTCCTATCCACCCCCCCCCCCCCAGATGGCCCAGGCCCTGTCGCCTACCTTCCGGGGTTTGCTCTGAGCCGGCTGGGCCCTGGAGGAGAACAGGAAAGGGTGACAGAGAGCCACGACCAAAGGCAACTCACCTGCCAGGCGGGTCAGAGCCCTTATACCTGCTGAGACCCAGGCTGAGGCGCTCCCCACAGGCTCGGATCTTGTTTTGGGCTTCAATGTGCGTAAGGCCTCCAGCGTTCTCGCCATCGATACTCAGCACCCAGTCGCCAACAGCTACCCCGGCCTGTGCAGCTTTGCCTCCAGGTGTGAGCTGTGGAGGGAGACGAGGGTCACCAGGCCAACCAAACTGAGACAAAGGTAGTCAGCCTGCCTGCAAGCTGCCCGCTTCCAGAACCCAGAGGCCTCTTCATTCAGCTGATGGATACCAGGGGTGGGGCTCACCTGAGCTTCACAATCACCAGTTATTTAGTTGTTCACCTCCATGACCCTACCCAGTCTAGAGACTGCCATGATGTCAGCAAGCTGCCACCCTCAGGTTAAACCCCAAACTTCTCAGCTCCAACTGGCTTCTTGCCCAGACTGTTCCACCCTCCAGACATGTCCTCCGGCTTTTGCATGTGGCAAGTTCCTCCCTGACACTCCTGGGTGCTCTCACTGACCTCTTGTGCACACAGGGTGCTGGGGCCACCACCAGGAATCTGCCAGGCTCCCATGAGAGCCAGGAACAGGCTCCATCGACTTCAAGTTCCCAGTGAACAACGCATGTCTGAGGGGCCCATAGTGCCAGCTGGGGCTTCTTGTCTATCAATGTGCCACCTCACGCCCTTCAATTGCCACTCTCCCTCTCCCCATTCCTTTGGGCTCTGGTTGGGGATCCCTGGTTACTGTGGCAAATGAGGAGCAGTAACAGGATGGAAGGGTCACCCAGCATGGGCTGAGACATCAGGGATGACTTGTGAGAAATGGTGGGTCTTGTAACAGGAGTGGTGTGTGCTACCCAGGGGGTGAGAGTCCACTTATGAAGGCCTCATGGAGGGGGGAAGAAACAAGGACTGGGCCTGGAGGTTAGGAGGTTCCATTAGCAGTTTGAAGGCCTAGGGTATGGTTATTTCTCAGGTCTCTGAGAGAAATGACAAACCCCCTGGGCCCGCCCAGCCTTATAGTCCAGCAGCAGCAACCCAGACAGGTGCAGTGCTGCTGCTCATGGGTGTGAGCTCCCAGGATGCCTGGCCAGCTGCCCAAGGGCCCGACATAGATCAGGCTTCTGAGGGGAGTAACTAGAAGGGAGATTCATACTTCACAGCTGGGGGTTGGAGGGCTGGGAAGGCACAGGCTGCCCAAAGCCCCAGGAGGCTCCTCATGTGCGCAGGGACACAGACTGAGTGGAAGCAGAGAAAAGGGAGGCAAAGAGACCAGATGCAGAGACTGACAACATTGGGAAAAGGGAGAGATGGTTCGATGGTTCTGTTTCATGCTTGGGAAGTTTGAAGGGTAAGACATGGGCGACTCCTTCGCCTGCTAAGTGGTAAGAATACAGCTTACATTTATTGAGCACCTAGTATTGCCACATACTGACACTGAATCCTCCAACAATCCTGTGGAAAAGAGTCTGAGATTATACCCATTTCATACATGGGAAAACAGAGAGGTTAAGTAACTTGCCTCAAGTTGCCCAGCTAGCAGGAAGCAGGGCCCAGACTCTACTCTAAGGCTCCACTACACCAGGCCAACTCTGGTGAGTGTTGGGGCCCAACTCAGAGGCCAGCCTACCTGGAAAAACTCCCTGATTCCTTGGCCCGGTTTGGAGCCTGGATTCCTTGTCACCTTTAGTTCGATCCAGCCCCTTACAATGGGCACAGGGAAGTAACGCCCTTGAAGGGAAGTGACTTACTCAAGGTCATGGTGAGTCAGTGGAAGGGAAACCTGGTCCAGCCACTCCCTACCCATAGGGCTGGCTCCTGGGAGGTTTGGATTGAGCCTGAGGTGGGAGTCTTGGGGGGGGGCAGGAGCAGCTGGCTCCCAGAGTTAGGACAACTTCCTAACAGTGGGAGTGAGGACAGGAAACGCATGAGGGATAGGGGCGGGGTCAGTGAGGTGGAGAGAAAAGCATGAGAGCTGGGAAGGCAGGAAGGGGGCGGGGGATGGCTGGAAAGAGAAGCAAGGAGGCCAGAGGGACCAAGGAGGGGAAAAGAGCCAGAGGGGCTGGACACTGCATGGGGTAAGGGGTGAGTCAGCCTGAGGGCTCCACTGAGCAGCCCAACCCCCCAGTCCCAGACATTACCTCATCTCCCAGGCCTGGGCCCACAGCCAGCCATAGCCCCTCCCCTCTCCCTCCGTGCTGGGGTCAGGGGAGAGGGAGAGGGCTGCCCAGCTCATAAAAGACCACCCCACCCACCTACCCACCCACTCACTAGGCCCAGGTCCAACTATGGGGCTGGGATTAACTGGTGGCCTCATCCACAGGCTAGGGCTGCTGACAGAGGAGCCAAGAGTACCCCCGATAGGCCACATCTGAAAGTCCAACCCCCAGGCTATTCTGCAGCCCATCCTCACCGATGAAAAAGCTAAGACTCCTCGCCCACAGGCCGGCACTTTTCCAGGGAGGGGACGTAGGGCAGGTTTTCATGGCTGCAAGGCTTGAGAATTGCATAGGGGTGGGTGCATGGTAGGAGGACCACTGCCCTTAGCTACCCTGCTGGCAGGGCGGATTTCAGGGGAAACCGAGGAAAGGCTTGTGGGAACAACAGTGACCACCTCCCTGCCCTGGCCATCAAGCCCAACACCCACAGACAGACTCCACCTTCCGGGCCCTCTCAGGCTGGGCAGTGCCTGGACAACCTCCCGACCCCCTCTGGGCAGTGCTTGTCCTGGGCTTCCTGCCAACATCCGCCGGTCCACCGGGTGCCTGGGTGGGCCTCTCTGGGCAGGCGGATCGGGCACAGAAATTCCCCTGTAATCCCTAGACCACAGTCAGAGACACCACCCCTTGGGCTGGCCTCACTGTCCCCGGGCAGGCAGTTTGTTCTCTGTACACCACAACTGACCCTACAACTGGAGCCATGGCCTGGTGGTCACTAGCTGAGGCGGCCACCAGTGTGATTCAGGGGCCCAGACCTAGGCCAGCCATTTTTGGCTCTGCAGAGGCCTGCCACCAGTTGTTCATCCCAGTGTGGGGCTGCATTCTTGGGCTTATAAGGCAATCCCCCTGCCACAGGGAGGGGCCGCCCGCAACCCCGCCCCTACCAGGGCAGGCTCTCAGGGGCTGAAGTCAGAACCCTAGAGCACATTTCACACCTACTTAGGGTCAAAGGCCACTGCAGCCAGAATGGGACCAGAGGAAGGGAATGGAAATCCTCCATTACAGCTGGAGAAACACCACCACCCACCCACCCACAAACACTGCAGCCATCCCAGGGCCTGAATACCAATCCGTTTGGCCAAAGAATCTCCAAACGAGCCCTTCCAATTCAGCCCTGAGGTCCCTCTCTTGAAAAACAGGTGATAATGGCTATTTCCTGGGTGGCAATGAGGCTGTAATGAGATCTTGCAGTCAATACCTTGCCTGGGGCCTGGCAACAAGTATTGCATTGCTCCCTCAAGCAGCTTACACACTTCCTTAAGGACCTCAGGCTCCCCTCCTGCAGACTGGGCCTCAGAGTGGCCCCAGGAGCTCGGTGGAATGCACCAGGTAGTGCAGTGCTGGGGAAGCCTCTCCTCGCATCCACCTAGCTGGTAGTCCTTGTAACAAGTGCCCTCCCTCCCCCCCTCTGGACCTGGGCACCTCCTGGTTTTTGGCCCTGACTCCAATTCCTTCCATCATCCCCAGGGGACCCGAGCATCCAAAGACTCCTGGCATAGGCTCACCCGGGAGATGGAGAGGGGCACATTGAAGTCCTTGCCCCCTTGCAGCCGAAAGCCCCAAGGGGCTGGTCCCTCCAGCACCACCTTGAAGGAGTCCATGGTGCCTGCCCCAGAGAAAAGAGAAAGGTGAGTAGCCCGCATGGTAGGGCAGGGAGGCACAGCTCCGGACACCAGCCTTGGACTGGTGCCAGGCAGGAGGGACAGACGCCGAGCACACCCAGGTCACCAGTAGGCAAGCACCTAGTCAGGTTTGGCTGTGCTGCTGGAAAGACAGGAGCAAGCCCCCTCCTCCTCCAGGGGCTGGGAGGGTGAGGAGAGCCTGCATCCAGGCTTTAAGTTTCTTTGCATCCACAGCTAGTTGCACGACCTTCCCCCAAGCCAATTTGGAGTCTTGGACAGACAGCGGGGTGAGTCAGGGGCCGGCGTTCCTCTCCCCCGCCCCCAGGTCCCGGCAGGCAGGCCGCGGCTGGAGCCTGGTCGGGCTATATAAGGCGTGTAAGCTGACACTGTGCAGAGCCAGCGGAGGGAGCACCCGGGGGCTCGGGACTCAAGGGGGAGGGGTGGGAAGGGAGGCGGCTGGAGCGGGTCCTAGTCATTCCGGGACTAGTCGAGGCTCCTGGGAGCCATGATGGGACATCTCTAGGCGCTAAGGGGAAAGCCGGAGGCCGCGGGGGACCGAGATCGGTGGGGGTTAGGACCCCAAAGCGTGGCCTGTAAGGAAATTCATCCCGGAGCGCAGTGAGGGTGGTACCTTCCATAATGGCCTGCTACCATCCAGATGTGACTCAGTTTCCCCCGGCCCCCCCTCCGCCCAAATCCAATGCCGCGACCAAGTCCCAGGCGCAGGAATCAGCGCAGGCGCCGATCTGCCTCGCCGCGGCCGGCTTCGCCGCAGGAAGGCGGGGGCGGAGGCGGGGGCAGGGGCAGGAGCCCGGGCCCGCGGGAGGAAGCTCGGCGCTGGCCGCGACCACGCAAGCCTTCTGTGGTCCCTCGAAGCCCCCTGGCCCCTGCCTGACCCAGCCCCAGCCGCCCCTGCGGCCGCCAGTACCTGTTCTGCCCCACCGGGGCACTGCTCGACGGCGGGCTCCAAGGAGCCGCCTTGGGATCGGCCGCCGTGCTCTGGCCCCGCCCCCGCGGCAGCCGTCCGCTTTGAGGCCACGGAAAGGGGCGGTGTCTGAGGCCACGCCCAGACGAAGCCCCGCCCGCCGGCGACCGCTCCCGCCACGGGAAGCCCCGCCCAATCCTCTCTCCTCGGCCAATCACGACGTCGGATCACGCTTTGAGCTGGAAAGCTCGGCCCGCCCACGTCCCCTCCGCGTGGGGCGGGGCCTTGGCTTCGCGGAGCCGCTCGCCCGGCCGCTGGCGCCTCCCGCTGGCCGAGTGAAAGAAAAGCAACCTTTGGAGACAATTGTCTCTGAACATCCGTTTCCTCCTCGGAAAAATGGGACCATGATGCCCGCTTCGCAGGGCCGCCGTGAGGACAGGTAGTGTTTGGGGTAAGGCTCAGACATCGGCGTCTCCAGAATTCCTAAATCGGAGGGCCCTGGTGGGGGGGCACATACCGTAGCGGAGTTTTGAGGACGGAACAAGAGAACTTGGAGCTAGGTTTGCAAAACACTGACTCTAGGAAGGCAGAACAAATAATGGCAGGAGCGGGTGGAAACTGAGGGAATCCTCGGCTGGACGCTGAGCCTGACCTGTGCCCCTGCCCTCACTCCCACCCCCTGACCCCGGGGCAGGGAGCAGCCCGCTGCCCTGCGTTCCCGGCTCAGCGTGGACACCGAACAGCGTGGACAATGTGAGATGGGCTGCATCCTGGTACCAAGAACAGGCGGCACCTCTATGGGAGAGTGTCCGAGTCCCTCCTTGGCCGCCCTCCCCCCCACACAGCTCCCAGCGCAGGTGTAGGGGATGAAGCAGGAACAGGAGGGTACGGGTGAATGAGCAGGCGTCCACCCTTGCCTACTTGTAGGACATGGCCGCTGCTGTCCCTCCTCCACCGTCATCACATTCCCCTCATCTGCATCATTCCCTTCACTGCACAAACTGCTGTAAGAGTCTCGTGTTTAAAAATCTTCTCTTGAGGTCAGAATCCAAGATGGCTGCCCAGGTAAACTCCTAGCTGCAGCCACACACAACAATTTCAATAAAATACAACTAAAATATAAAATGGACATTACCCAGAACTACAGGAAAGTCGACTAACTGGAAATTCGACAACGAGAAGCAAGGAAAAAACCAGAAGGAAGAGCGGAGGAGCTGTAAAAGCCTATGGTACGGAGACACGCCGGACAGGCGGGAGGCTGAGTGCCTGGCTGGCGTTCCCTAGCGGGAAGGAGATAAAAGCTCTGTGTTTGGCCCTAGTTCCGACTGCTCTGAACCCCAGTTCTAGGCCAGACCCCGGGGACCCAGGCTCATCCAGAGGGAGCTGGGCTGTAAGGCGGAACCCCGGGGGAGCGGCGAAAGGAGGTCCTGGAAATGAGCATATTGCGCGCAGAGAAGGGACGGTTGGCTGTGCCACGGGATTGCCCTGGCGGGAAGGAGACAGGGGCTCCAGACTGCTCTGAACCTCACCTCCAATCCCACTTCCAACTGAACTGAACCCCAGTTCCGGGCTCATTGGGGGAGAGCCTAGACTGTTTGTGGTAGCAGGTGAAAATCGAGGGCACCTTTCTATCAGAGGCTCTTGCAACGAGTACTGAAGGACCCTGAGACCCAGGAGCTGCATAGGGTGGGGCTGAGGGAAGCCAAGGCTATAGGCTCCAACCTGAAACTCCGCCCCATCTGTAGCTGCGAAATGCGACTACGAAATAGATCACAAACGAAAGAAATGGAGGACAAAAAGCGACTGGATATAGAGTTCAAATCTATGCTTATAAGGTTTTTCAAGAATTTCCTAGAAAAGATCGACAAGACCTATGAGGACATGAAAAGAGATCAACTAGAATTAATAAGGAATCAACAAGAAATGATAAGGGATCAACAAGAAATGATAAGGGATCAACAAGAAATAAAGAATACATTGTCTAAAATAAAAAATATTATACAGAGTCCTAAAAACAGAATGGAAGATCGCAAGAATCAAGTCAAAGATTTGGAACATAAAGAGTCAGAAGACACTCCTCCACAGAAGCTAGAAGGCAAGAGAATCCAGAAAATTGAAGATAATGTAAGAAACTCTGGGACAACTTCAAGCGAACCAACATCAGAATTATGGGGGTCCCAGAAGATGAGAGAGAGCAAGATATCGAAAACATACTGAAAGAAATAGTGACAGAAACATCCCCGCCCCCCCCAGGTGAAAGAATTAGACTTACAAGTCCAGGAAGCGCACAGAATTCCAAACAAAAGGAATCCAAAGAGGACCACACCAAGACAAATCATAATTAAAATTCCAAGAGCAAAAGACAAAGAGAGAATATTAAAAGCAGCAAGAGAAAAGCAGGTAGTTACCTATAAAGGAGCACCTATACGATTGTCAGCTGATTTCTCAACAGAAACCATGCAGGTCAGATGGGAATGGCAAGAAATATTCAAGGTGATGAATAGTAAGAACCAACAGCCAAAGATAATCTATCCAGCAAAGCTATCACTCAGAATGGAAGGTCAGATAAAGAGCTTCACTAATAAAAAAAAAGCTAAAGGAGTTCATCACCACCAAACCAGAATTATATGAATTGCTGAAGGGGGTTCTTTCAGAAGAGAAAGTAAATAAAGAAAAAATTATGAACAACAAATATGTAACTGTCAACAAGTGAATCTAAAAACCAAGGAAATCTAAAAAAAAAATCTGATGAACAATATTAACTGTTGAATATAATAGAATCAGAGGTATGGAAGGGGAGTGAACTGACGATTCTTTGGGGAAAGGGGAGAGGGGATGTGGGAAGAGACTGAACATAAACTGTGCGCCTATGGATGAGGACAATGGGGGGTGGGGAAAGGGCAGAGGGTGGGGTGGGAACCTGGTGGAGGAGAGCAATGGTGGGGTGGGGGAGGAACATTTGTAATAATATGAACAATAAAAATTTATTTAAAAATAAATAAATTAATTAATTAATTAAATAAAAATCTTCTCTTGACCCCACCTGCCCCTCCAACTATGGCCCTTTTATTCTCTCCTTGAGAGTGAAATTCTTGAAGGAGTTATCTGCGGGCCTGTCCCACTCCAGTGAGGCTCTTGTCCTTCCAGTCCTCTGAATGAATTCCCTCTTCTCAAGGTCTCCAATGACCTAAGGTTATCAAATCAATGGCTTTCTCAGCAGTTGCTCTACAACTGCCTACAGGCACTCCAGGTGCATTGCCTCTGGCCTACTGCTGTTCCTTCTCTACCTCCTTTGGTGGCTCATCTGCCTCCCAACCTGGCCATCAGATCTTTCCCCTCTACACTAATTCTCTAAGACCCCACCCTGTCCTGTGGCTTTCAATAACACCTACATGCCCAGGACTCCCAGGTTATATGTCCAGCCCTGACTCCCCCCTCCCCATGAACTCCAGACTCTCCTATCCAACTACCTGTCTAGTCTCTAGTTGGATGTCTCCTAGATATTTCATATCATGTCCCAATTTAAACTAGTGATTATCTCACCTTCCTAACTCCTTCCCCATCTCAGTAAATGGCATTCATCTGCCTGACCCGATAAAAACTATGAAGCTATTCTTCCTTTCCCTTCTCTGGTATTCTCCAGATTGTGCACATTCCACATCTAGTCACTACTGCCACTGGTGTCATTGCCACACATCTCCTGTCTGGAAACCTTAATAGTCTCCTCGCAGATCTCCCTGCTTCTACCCTTGCTCACTCCAGAATTTTCTCCCTACAGCTGCCAAAGTGATATTTTTAAAGCAGAAATCATGCCACATCACACTCTGCTTTTAGCATTCCTAAAACATTGCACCTAAAATAAAACTAAAATCTGCCCTAACCGGTTTGGCTCAGTGGATGGAGTGTCGGCCTGCGGACTTAAGGGCCCCGGGTTCGATTCTGGTCAAGGGCATCGATTCTGGTCAAGGGCATGTACCTTACTCGCCAGCACATACCCAGTGGGGAGTGTGCAGGAGGCAGCTGATCGATGTTTCTCTCTCGTCGATGTTTCTGG